AGAATAAAAACCCAGAAAATCCAACTCCAAAAAAGTTTCAAGAGTTGACACAATTGAACTTCCTTTGGAGTTAAAACTTTTCATTTTTATTATTGAACTTTCATTCTCTCAAAGCTAAATCAAAAACAAAATTTTAAAATAAATTTCACTCAAAATAATTCATTTGTTCCAATCATACCCATAATTTTTTGTTACTTTACTGAGCTACTTAGCATCACCAATAAGCTTGAATTCCTCTAAGCTCCTGGAATTCTCCCAAAGTTGAACCCAGATCTTGGCTTCGTAGATCTTGGTCTTGTGACCATCTAAAGCCTCCAAAGTGATGTAGTACATAACGCCTGCAACCACTTGCTGTTTTACATTCACAATCTTCTTGAACTGCAGCAACGCATTCTGCAAAATTCCCATCACAAAATTTATTGTTGCAAATCGAAACACAAAATGTTCGCAGCTGATAAAAATTGATAAGAGCAGCCTGTAACAACTATTTAGCCTATAATACTTGTTAGTAAAGTAAACTAAGACTATTCTTTTCTGCTGTTTGAGTTTCTATATTGTGCAATCAGGTGCTAAACGTCTTAGCTATGCAGGCAACACATGTCCCTGATGAGCAATGGCTCACTCAAGAACTACTCAGTTTCTATATCCCCTACTTCAACAGGAATAGTTGTTAAATTTTCCCTTTTTATGAAAGTTGATTTTTCATAAAAAAATAAGCTATATGTGGAGTATATATGAGAATAAAAAAAGAAATCGATCATAAAGGTCTACTTAATTCAACAAAATGATAGTAAAAATCTCCTCTTAAAAGAATAGAAGTTTATTCTAATATAATCTGCATCATCTCTATCAGCTGAAATAACAATAAATTTACAAATAAATTTTATGACATCTATGAACTATTTCAAACATGATTAAAATCATACTGCAGTAAATTTGAACTCACAAGCTAAATTTTTAACTGTTGGATGATAAAAAATAATTTCCGCATATTTAATTTAACCAATAAAATATGTCACTTACAATTATAATGGTTATGATTGTTATGATTATCTAAGCTGTCTCTATAGCGCCAACACAATAACAATCTATATCATCAAAATGTGTAGATCTGTGTTCGTATAATATTAAAATGTTTCAACGAGATCTTTTCTTTTCTACC